CCCCGCCCCTTCACCTCTCCGTCCCGTCCCGCCCCTTCACCTCTTCGTCCCGCCTCTTCAACCTTACGTCACGCGCCTGCACTTCCCCGCCCCTGCACCTCCACATGAGGCCACGTCCCTGCAGTGCAGGATTTTCTGAAGAACGGTCCCGACCCGAAACGTCACTGCAGTGCTTGTTATCTCCGACCTTTGGCTTGCCTCCTCCTCCCGCTGTCCAGGCCCTCCATATACACCGCCACCCAGCCTGGCGGGGAGGTAATGCAGTTGCCCGCCTGGAAAGTTAATCCAGCACCAAGTTATGCCGACCGAAATGCCTCAACTCAGAAATAAAAACAACAAAAATAATGGACATAGTCAGTAGCATCTGTTTGTGGTTTCGGCAGCCCTTTTGCACAGCTGCTGCCTGACTTGCTGAACATTTCTAGCATTTTCTGTTATGTCTAAAAGAACATTGTCAAAACATTTCAAATAGGACATAACAGAAAATGAAATAAAATACAAATTTCCTCCATTGAGCACGTTGCACGCAAGACAAATTTTTGATCAGTGATAGATTGAAGGGTTATCACCATCAGGACAGACTACCTGAAGGTGCTGGGTGTCTGGTTTGGCGGAGCTGGGGCGTGCACTAAAACGTGGGAGGAGCGCATCTCAAAGCTGCGGCAGAGGCTGGGCTGGTGGGTGCACCGGTCTCTCTACATTGCGGGTAAAAACCTGGTCGTCAGGTGTGAGGGGCTTTCGGTACTGTTGTACATGGCGCAGGCCTGGCCTATCCCCCGGACCTGCGCCGCTGCGGTCACCCGGGCCATCTTCCACTTCATTTGGGGGTCGAGGATGGACCGGGTCCGCAGGGACACCATGTACAAAGACCTAGAAAACGGGGGGAAGGAAGTGCCAAACGCCACCCTCGCCCTGATGGCTACCTTTGTGTGCGGCTGCATCAAGCTGTGCATAGATCCTCGGTACGCAAACACTAGGTGTCACTACTTACTGAGGTTCTACCTGTCCCCAGTGTTGCGAAGAATGGGCTTGGCCTCGCTGCCGCGGAACGCTCCAAGTAGTTGGACCGTCCCGTACCACCTGTCCTTCGTGGAGAAATTTTTGAAGGGAAACACCTTTGACCACAAGGCCGTCAGGCAGTGGTCGGCACGTAGCGTCCTTGAGACCCTTCGGGAAAAGGAGAGGGTGGATCCTGTCGGGTGGTTCCCCTCGCAGACTGCGAAAGTCGTTTGGCAGAATGCCTCATCGCCAGAACTTTCTAACAAGCACCAGGACATTGCTTGGCTGGTGGTGAGAGGGGCTCTGCCAGTGAGATCATTCATGCACGCCCGGGCTCTCTGCGCCACTGCACGCTGCCCTCGAGGTGGCTGCGGGGGTGACGAGACAGTCTATCACCTCCTTCTGGAGTGCGCCTATGCGCAGGAGGTCTGGAGGGGAATGCAGTGGTTTGTGTCGAGGTTCGTCCCGAGCAGCTCCGTGACACGGGACTCCGTGCTCTACGGGCTGTTTCCCGGGACGCACACCGAGACCAACATCAACTGCGCCTGGAGGACCATCAATGCGGTGAAAGACTGGTCTGCCCGCAACTTGCTGGTCTTCCAGTTGAAAGAACTAACCCCGACCGAGTGTTGCAGACTGGCGCACTCCAAGGTCCAGGACTACGTGTTGAGGGACGCACTAAAGCTTGGGGCAGCCGCTGCCAAGGCGCGGTGGGGAAAGACCACTGTGTAAGACCCCTCGGCCGTACTGTATCAGGGCCCTGTTCAGAAACTGGGCCCAGCTGGCGCCTCCTGCAACTGGTCAGGGGGCCAACTATGACCACGGGTAGAGATGACCACCGGAGTTTTTCTTCTTCCTTTGTTTTTCCCTTTAGTTGGTGTACGTACCCCCAGGGTAAAGCGGGGCAGCTAGCATGACCGGGTAGGTGAAAATGTGTTTATTTTTTGTATTTTCTACGAATAAAGTATATTTTTTTAAATAAAAAAAAATAGATTGAAGGATTATGGGGAGTGGGCAGCAAAGTAGAGATTAAGAGATAGTATGAACTGCAGATGCTGGAGAATCTGAGATAACAAGGTGTAGAGCTGGATGAACACAGCAGGCCAAGCAGCATTAGAGGAGCAGGAAAGCTGACGTTTCCAGTCTGGACTCTTCTTCAGAATTGGGGGAGGGGAAGGGGATTCTGAAATAAATAGGGAGGGGGGGGGAGGCGGATGGAAGATGGATAAAGGAGCAGCTAGGTGGAGAGGAGACGGACAGGTCAAGGAGGCGGGGATGGAGCCACTAAAGATGAGTGTAGGTGGGGAGTTAGGATAGGGGTAGGTTAGTCAAGGGAAGACAGACAGGTCAAGGAGGCGGGGATGAGGCTGGTAGGTAGGAGGTGGGGGTGGGGGTTTAGGTGGGACGAGTGGATAAGTGGGAGGTAGGACGGACAGGTTAGGGAGGTGGGGACGAGCTGGGCTGGTTTTGGGACGCGGTCGGGGGTGGGAAGATTTTGAAGCTTGTGAAGTCCACATTAATACCATTGGGCTGCAGGGTTCCCAAGCGAAATATGAGGTGCAGTCGTTTGTCGTGAATCGAGTGTAGGTGTTCCACCGATCTCCCACCTATCTGCTCCTCCCACCTCAACCCCCACCCCCACCTCCTACCTACCAGCCTCCCCGCCTCCTTGACCTGTCCATCTTCCCTTGACTGACCTACCCCCATCCTAACTCCCCACCTACACTCACCTTTACTGGCTCCATCCTCACCTCCTTGACCTGTCCGTCTCCTTGGCCTGCTGTGTTCATCCAGCTCTACAATTTTTTATCTAAAGTAGAGATTAAGCCAAGATGAGATCAGTCATGATCGTATCAAATAATGTTGCATGCATGATGGACTGAATAGCATACTCCTAGCTCTTATGTGTTTCAGTCTTGTTGCAATACATGTGACATTCCCTACATTCATTCTGTGACCCAAGCAACTATTTGTAATGCGAGGGAAGACCTGCACGGTCTGGCTATAACAGAATGCAGGAAGTGACTGTGAGAATGTGTGTGCCGCTGAGGTCTCCATGCTGGATTTGATGGGGCTAGGGAAGAGGAAATGGAGAGTCGAGCTGGCAAAGTGGAGCTATCCCCACAATTCCCCAGCACTGTCTGGGTAGCAAGACTCCTTGGCTGTTGCATCTTCACCGTGCACACCCCACTGTCACCATCCAGCCCTCCCCAGTCACTCACTATCTGCAGAGGGCACTGCCTGGAGCTGGGAGGCTGTGCCTGGTGCCCAGGACTTCTCGAGCATCTGTCTGGGCACGCCCCCCCCTCAACCTCTCATTGCCTGTTCCCTCTAGTTCTCCCTACGTTCTCCCTCATCACCTTCTGTTCCACCTCATGCTCGCCCCAATCCCCCTGTCCAGATCCACCTCCTTATGCAGATGCCAAAATGCCCATTAAAATGGCTACTCGTATAAGGCTGGTGATGTTAAGTGGCCATGACGCTGTGTTCCTGACTCTGCACTTGTTGCTCCTATTGTTGTTGCTCACAACAGACACAGCCTTCAATGACAAACACATAGCCTGAGGGGTCCGATATATTACCAGCCCCTAGAAACGCTGAAAGTTACAGATCTTTCACCACCGTAATTATCTGAGAAGAAAAAAATAGCATTTATGTAGCTCCTTCATGACCTCTCAACATTTCAAAATACTTTACAGACATTGAAATACATTTTGAATTGTAAATGTTGACAGAAGAAATTAGAAATTGGCGGCTATCTCATTGCTGAATGTGGACTATTCAATTTGGCACTAGGTCATTGCCAGTTGGGTAAAGTCTGTTTTGGAGTTGATGATGCTCCTTGACCAAGTTTCTGCTGATCATCCTGATCTCTGCAAGTCTTGTACTGCTCAGGAATATGGGCTGTTTGCGAGGTGCAGGGAGGGAATGGATAACTTACCTCATCAGCCTGATCCAGGTGAAGATCTTTGACAGAATATCACAATCCAATATGATGGAAGTGCTCTCCAAAAGGAGGTCTTGGGACAGAATCCACACACAAATGTTATATACGAACATCATTAGGACAGTTCCAAGCAGTGGATGGAAAGCTAATATGCTTCCCAATGACATCTGAAGTGAGGTAGGGCTGCTGTCCCTCCCGTGTCTTGTTTGTGTACTGTATAGAACCTACTGCTAAGTCAATCAGAAGAGAAAAAGTGGCATAAGACAGGTGTTAGTCCCTACTAATGGAGGCACACAAGTCACAATCTCCCTGTACATGAACAATGTCAATGTCTTCTTGGGTCCATTGTCGATGTCCAGACTAATGAGCATCTTTAAATGTTTGAAACAGACCAACGGGTTCCACACTGTGTACCAGACAAGAACTGTACATCGAGAACATCAAGAGTATTGATGTTGTGTTGGGTACCTCAGAGTGGAATGTGATGCCTCACAAAAATAGTTCATTTCTATTGCATTTACTTCAATTTTCAATTTGAAATGGTTTTCCCTCAGGTTGTGGGCCGACATGGAATACAAATTGCAAATATTAAGACCATTACAATTATACTGAGGCACCTAAGAGTGAAATGTTCTGTCTGGGGACAAGTTGAATTTTATTGAACCTTCTGTCATTTTCGAGGCAGTATTTTATGCAAATTTTATGAATAAGGTATATTTTTGAGAAAAAATCTCTGGTGATATGATTCAGCATTTACTTAATTATTTGAAGGGATCCAACATCAACTTTTTTTTGTGCCTGGTGCAAAAGTATTTATTGTCTTAGCTGTGGGATTTTGTTGCTACAATAGCATTTTCAGGGAAAAAAACATATTAGCCAGCATCTGAAAGAATGGTGTTAAGGTGTAACTCATTAGAAATCCAAGTAAGACAGACCCAAACTATTGGTATTTTTTATCATTTGCAGATGTTCATTAATCTCTTGGGATTAGATTCTTGTCAACAACATTGAGAGGGTTTAATCCCATTTCTGGCTGAGGAAGTCTTTGGGGCCTGTCCCCTTTCTGTGTTTGTCATAAAAAGATCACAGCACTTTGCTATATGTGGTTCAGTAAATAATCATCCAGGGAGTGAGCCGAAGCAGATATTTCTGTTACTAGTCACAGAGTCATACAGCACGGAAACAGCTTCGATCCAACCAGTCCATGCCAAATATAATCCCAAACTAAACTAGTCCCACCTGCCTGCTCCTGGGCCACTTCCCTCTAAACCTTCTCCATTCATTTACACAGAGGGTAGTTCATTACACAGGCTAACCACCCTCTGTGTAAAAAATTTGCCCCAATGACTTTTTAAAATCTCTCTCCTCTCTTACTAACTTAATTTCACAAATGAAGTAAATATTAGCGCAATATGGCCACTCAGATATATCCTGCAAGTTGTACATTTAGAAGTTTAATGGTAATATCAGTTACTAACCTACTAAATTTAAAATAGCTTTGTGAGAATTGAAAGCAGAAATTTTGCAGGCTGTGTGAAAAGTCAAGGAACTATTGTTCTAGAATTTATTAAAACCATTGGGTCTGAAATTCTAATGAGGCTTAGGGTGTAACAGGGCACAGGAAATTGATCTGATTCACCTCATTTAAATGCCACTTTATATTCTGATGAGGGAAGTGGCTACATTTTCCACTGTCCTCTCCGTCTGAACTGAAGGGGTTCCCTGGCTATCTCTGGAACTTTGCCCTGAATAGACCTCAATAGAAGTCTTGCCACCTGAAAGCTAGCTTGGATTCATCTGAGGCCTCATTGATTTGTCCCTGGACCACAATGTCAGGTTGCATCTGTCTGTTCCCAACATTGATGCCTGAGTTCCTGCACATGAACAAGATTTTGCTAGGTGTGTTAAGGAGGCTTGTGAGCATGAAAAGATCCCATTTGGCCCTCATTTAGATGGAACTTTTTTCATCAGGATGAGGCTGTGAATCCCAGTCTGACAGAGGCAAGTGTTTAAAGTGGATGGATCCCTTTGTGGGAATCCTCCACTGCCATCTAAATATCTTACTAAGTCGATTCACAGACTGCCTGTAATGAGTGAGGCCTGGAAGTACATCGGCTGGGGTCAGGAGGCTGCATCTCCTCTTCCACTATTTGAAGGGGCTATGCCTCAGTTTCTGGCCACATCTCTGTCCCACATTCCTGATCTTTGGTCGCATGACGCAGAAAGGAAAGGGCAGCATGGAAAAGCTCCTGTCCATCTGTTCCCGGGATTGGCCAAGGTAACCATTAAAAACCGAAAGAACTGCATAAATCAGGAACAAAAACAGAAGTTGCTGGAAAAGCTCAGCCGGTCTGGCAGCATCTGTGAAGAAAAAAATCAGAGTTAACGTTTCGGGTCTGGTGACCTTTCCTCAGAACAAGGTAATTATTCAACACTCCAACAGGGTGTGAACAATGTGAGTGCTTGTTCTGGCTGCCTGCCTCTCTTCTCTGTCTATATCCCCAACCAGGTGCCATGGAAAGGGAGCACCGCAGTGTCCGACAAAATCTTGAAGGGAATCCATAGCTGCTGGAGTAGTGTTTGACATGGAAAATGTATTTGGAATGTGATACGGTTTTATTATATTTTGTGGAAGGAATTGTTTGGACCCTATTATAAAGAGGGCATGCATTTTTCACAGAATTGTTAAAGTACAGATGGAGACCATTCAGCCCATCATCGCTGCACCAGTTCTATTACCTGGTGCCAATCTCTTGCCTTTTCCACATATCCCTGCACACCACTCCTATCCAAATAACCACCCCATGCTCCCTTGAATGTCTCAGTTGAGTCTGCCTCCACCACAGTAACAGGGAATTCATTCCAGATGTGAACTACCCGTTGCGTTGAAAAATTTATTTTTCATATCACCCATGCTTTATTTGCACATCACTTTAAATCTATGCCGTCTTGTTCTTTTTTCTTTCACAAGTGGGAACAGCTTCTCCTATCCATTCTGTGCAGCCCGCTCATGATTTGAAAAAGCTCTAGCAAATCTCCTCTCAGATTTCTTCTCTCCAAGGACTTCTTTAATCTATTCTCATAACTGAAGCTTCTCATTCCTGGAACCATTCTTGTAAATTTCTGTGTTTTGATGAATGGTCACTGGCCCCAAAACATTTACTCTGATTTCTCCCCACAGATACTGCCACAGATGCTGAGTTTTTACAGCAATTTCTGTTTACTTTTCTGATTTTCAGCATTCACAATTCTTTCAATTTCTTGTCATTCTCTTCTGCACTCTTTCCAATGCAGTCACATCTTTCTCTTAATGTGATTCCCACAACTGTACACAATATTCCAGCTAAGGTCTAACAATTGTTAGTTCTGAAAAAGGGTCCTGACCTGAAATGTCAACTTTCCTGTTCTTCTGATGCTGCCTGACCTGCTGTGTTCCTCCAGCTCAACACTGTGTTGTCTTTGACTCCAGCATCTGCAGTTCTTGCTATTTCCATCTAACAATTGTTTTTGTAGTTATCCCAATTGGGGATTTAATAACTGAAGGTACTAGCGAAAAATCAGGCTGTATAGCTGCTCAGGTCTGGTCAGCCAGTTACAATTATAGCTGATTCATTCTGCCACAGGATAGCAATAAAAAACATGGACACCGTCTGGTGTGTTGGATGTGCCTGCCCCTTTACCTCTTGCTATAACCTCAGTCATGAGCATCAGTTGCCATGACAGGACTGTTTCTGCTCATTCACACTGTTGGACATTCTAGGCCTGGGTTAGAGTAAAGCACTTTCTAAATTATCCCCTTCAAACACTCCCAGGACAGGGACAGCACAGGGTATGATACGGAGTAAAGCTTCTTTGACATCATCCCAATCAAACATTCCCTGGACAAATATAGCACAGGGTTAGATACAGAGTAAAGCTTCTTCTATATTATCCCAATCAAACACTCCCTGGACAAGGACAGCACAGGGCTGCATTGAGAGTGAAGGTCCCTCTACACCATCCCCATTACTCCCTGGACAGGTACAGCATGTGGTTAGATAGAGAGTAAAGCTTTTTCTACATCATCCCAATAAAACATTTCCTGGCCGGAGACAGCACAGGGTTTGATACAGGGTAAAGTTCCCTCTACATCATCTCCTTCAAACACTCCTAGAACAGGGATTGCAGAGTGGAGTGCCTGTCCCTTTAAACTCATTGACAGCTGTCAGTTCCACCTACACAAAATGTTATAAAACACTGCTCCCGCCTCCTCTGGACGCTGATTCGTGTTTTTGAAAGGGCCCGCCCCTTCTGCGATTTCTTATTGGAAGGTTTGACAGGCATGTGAATGTGACAGTGTGGTTGGTCAGTTCCTCTGTCAATCACCCACAAATTGTTACTTCCTGCCATGTAGTGGCACAAGGTTCTGGGAACGGTTTGATTCAGAAGGTGAGTGTTGGGGAGGTAGAATATTGAATATTGAATATTGAATATTGAATATTGAATATTGTAAGTAAATCGGTCTTAAAGTGTTTAGAAGTTATAACTAAAACCAGCCATTAAAGCTGTAAGGCACCAGTAACTATTAGCGTAAATGCAGAAATGAATCTCATCCTCCCTTCCTTTGCCACCCTGAGTTCTGTCTTGTGTCCTAGAATGTCCTTTTATAATAATTAACTCTTAATTTATCTCATCGCTATGGCTGAGCTTTGCATCAGAGTTGTCCCCCATTTACTTATGTAACAGTAATAACAGCATTTCGCTATGGCTGTTTGCTAGCATTCATTTGTTCTTACGATGTGGGTATCTCTGACAATGCCAGCCTTTTGAAGCTCATTCTTAATTGCCCTCGAGATGATCGTGTTGAAGTACCTTCTTGAACTGCTGAAGTACAGACACCCATGGTGCTATTGGTGGGGCATAGTTCCAAGAATTAAACCCAGTAACACTGAAGGAACAATGTTTATATTTCCAATTCTGGGTGGTGTGTGACTTTGAGGAGAATTTGCAGACAGAGGATTTCTCTCAAATCTGCAAACCTCCTGTATCATGGTGGTAAAGGTTCTGTTTGTGAATGAAGCAGCTAAAGATGGTTGGGTTGAAGACACTAACCTGAGGTACTCTTGCAGAGATATTCTGGAGCTGAGATGATTGTCCTCCACAGACAGTGAAGAAGGTTATCAATGAGTGCAAAAGGATCTTGATCATCGAGGCCAGTGGGCTGAGGAATGGTAGATGGAGTTTAATTCTGATAAATGGGAGGTGTTGCATTTTGGTAAGACGATACCTGAGCAAGTGGCTACGAGTATCAGGGCAAGTTAGTTGAAGATGGCGGCAAAGTAGGACATTCATGCTGGAGCTCTGCTGCTCTGCCTGTTTTCTTGCTTTCTTGCTTTCTTTCTTGATTTCTTTCTTGCTTTGTTTTCTTCCCTCCCATCGTCGCCCCTCAGCACCATAGTTGAATAGTGGCAGGTGCTGGCAGCAGCGAGTCTTGGTGTGCAAGCCTGGAGAATGAGCCAGAACACTGTGTCAAGCTGTGCCCTGGAGCAGCCCAGGGGATGAGCTGGTACACAGCGTGGGCTGTGAGCCCTGGAACACTGCGTGGGGAATCCCAAGTTCCTGAGCGGCACACAAGAGGCGAAACCCGGTAAAATGTGACTTATCTTGTGGCTGCTGAGTGCCAGTGAGGAGAGGACTGGAGGCTGGTGTGATGTTGGACTTGGGCCTGATGCCATGTGCTGAATGGGGAAGCAATGGCCTAGTGGTATTATCATGGGACTGTTAATTCAGAAACACAGATAACATGCTCCTATGATGCTGCTTGGCCTGCTGTGTTCATCCAGCCTTGTACCTTGTTGTCTAACATTCTGGGGACCTGGGTTTGCATCCCGCCATGGCGGATGGTGAATTTGAATTCAATAAAATATCTGGAATTAAGAGTCTAATGATGACCATGAATCCATTGTTGATTGTTGGAAAAACCCACCTGGCTCACTAATGTCCTTTAATGAAGGAAACTGCCATCCTTACCTGGTATGGCCTGTATGTGACTCCAGACCCACAGCAATGTGGTTAACTCTGAACTGCCCTCTGTTCAATTAGGGATGGATAATAAATGCTGCCTAGCCAGTGACATCTTCATCCTGTTAATGAATTAAAAAAAACTGTTGTTTAGTAATCTTGTCGGACTATAATGTAAATCCTTACCGCTTAATCCTCTTTTGTATAACAACATTATAATTTTTTACACTAAGATTTGTATCTAGGTACTTATACCTAAGATGATGCCATTAAAAGACAGCCATTGTAAAAGCTTTTCACTGTACTTCTGTACTAGAGTACAAGTGACAATAAAGGATATTCTATTCTATTCTTGAATCAGAAGGTCAGGGATTGTATGTTTCCAGCAAGTTTTGGTTTGATATTTAATGTACAGGGTATAGTTTTGCATTGATTGGAGCTGGGAAACTGAGTGTAAATTATGCTGATTTGATGCAATGAACCCTGTGCTTTAGATGTCTGCCCGAAAACGCATATGCATAAGCACAAATGTAAAATTTTCCATGAACCAGTACAACTGGTTGGTGTTAGAGTAACAGTTCTTTAATATATTTAGTGATTACATGTTTCAGTTCTATTAATATAGATGTAATTTAAGAAAAAAATCCTTGTGATTTAGGTATCTCTGACAAGGCCAACCTTTTGAAGCTCATTCTAATTGCCCTCGAGATGATCGTGTTGAGCTATCTTCTTGAATTGCTGAAGTACAGGCACCCATGGTGCCGTTGGTGGGGCGTAGTCACCAAGAATGTGATCCAGTGCCCCTGACGTAACATTGGTGTGTAACTTTGAGGAGAATTTGCAGATAGAGGTGTTCTCATAAATCTGCAAACCTCCTGTATCATAGTAGTAAAGGGGTGTGTGTGTGTGTCTGTCTGTCAGTCAGCTAATGACGTTTGGGTTGAGGACATTACCCTGAGGTTCTCCTGCAGAGATATTCTGGAGCTGACTTGATTGTCCTCCATGGACAGTGAAGAAGGTTATCAATGAGTGCAAAGGGATCTTGATCATCTAGGCCAGTGGGCTGAGGAATAGTAGATGGAGTTTAATTTAGATAAATGGGAAGTGTTGCATTTTGGTAAGACAAGCCAGTGCAGGGCTTGCAGAGTTAATGGTCAAGCCCTGGGGACTGTTTTTGAACAGAGGGACCTAGGGTTGCAGGTACAGTGTTCCTTGAAAGTGTTGTTACAAGTAGACAGGATATTGAAGGAGGCGTTTGGCACACTTGCCTTCATTGGTCAGAGTTGGGACATTGTGTTACAGCTGTACAAGACATTGGTAATGCCACATTTGGAGTACTGTGTACTATTCTGGTCGTTCTGCTACAGAAAGGATGTTAATAAACTAGAAAGAGTTCCAAAAACAATTGACAAGGATATTGCTGAGACTGCAACTTTTGAGTTACAAGGAGAGGCTGGATAGGCTGGGGTGTTTTTCCAGGGAGCATAGGAGCTGAGGGATGACATTATAAAATCATGAGCAGCATAGATAGGGTGAATAGCTAAGGTCTTTTTCCTAGGGTTGGGGAGCCCAAAACTAGAAGGCATTGGTATAAGGTGAGAGGGAAAGATTTAAAAAGAACCTGAGGGGCAACGTTTTCACACAGAAGGTAGTGTGTTTTGTGGAATAAACTGCCAGAGAAGGTAGTAAAGGCGGGTACAATTACAATATTTAAAAGAATTTTGGTCAGATACAAGGATAGGAAAGGTTTGGAGGGATATAGGCCAAACTCCGGCAAATGGAACTAGTTTGGTTTAGGAAACCTGGTTGGTATGGATGACTTGAGCCAAAGGGTCTGTTTCTGTGCTGTATGACTATTACTCTATAACCACAACCATCTTCTTATGTGCTAAGTATGACTCTAACTAGTGGTTAGTTTTCCCATTGCTTCTTATTGACTTCAAGTCTGCAAAGGCTCCCTGGTGCCACAGTTGGTCAAATCCTGCCTTAATGTTGAAGGCAGTCACCTTGCATTTCACCTCCTTGAGTTTAGTCCCTAGTCTTGATTTCGATCTAGACTGTAAGGGATTGAGTGGTGTGGCAGAATGCAAACTGTGTTCCTTGGCAAATTGTGGTTAAATACATGAGGCGCAATAGCACTGTTCCTGCTTTTTGTCATTTAATATAAATGATTTGGATGTGAACAGGGGAGGTATTGTTAGTAATATGGCTGCTAACACCAATTTTGGTGTTCTAGCGGATAGCCAAGAAGGTTACCTCAGAGTACAGCAGGATCTTGATCAGATGGGCTGGTGGACCAAAGTTTGGCAGAAGGAGTTTAATTTAGGTAAATGTAAGGTGCTGCATTTTGGAAAGGCAAATCAGAGCAGGACTTAGACACTTAATGGTAAGGCCATGGGTAGTGTGGCTGAACAAAGAGACCTTGGAGTGCAGGGTTCATAATTCCTTGAAAGTAGAGTTGCAGGTTCACAGGATAGTGAAGAAGGCGTTTGGTATGCTTGCCTTTATTGGTCAGTGCAACAGGACATTAGTTAGGCCACTTTTGGAACACTGTGTTCAATTCTGGCTGACCTGCTATCAGAATGATGTTATGAAACTTGAAAGGGTTCTGAAAGATTTACAAAGCTGATGCTAGGGTTGGAGGGTTTGAGCTATAGGGAGAAGCTGAGTAGACTGGGGATGTTTTCCCTAGAGTGTTGGAGGCTGAGGGGTGACCTTATAGAAATCTATAAAATCATGAGGAGCATAGATAGGGTGAATAGCCAAAGGTCTTTTCCCCAAGGTAGCAGATTCCAAAACTAGAGAGCATAGGTTTAAAGTGAGAGGGGAAAGATTTAAAAGGGACCTGAGGGGGAACTTTTTCATGCTGAGGATGGTGCACGTTTGGAATGAACTGCCAGAGGAAGTGGTGGAAGCTGGTACAATAACAACATTTAAAAGGATCTGGATGGGTGTATGAATGGGAAGGATTTAGAGGAAATGGGCCAATTGCTGGCAAATGGGACTAGATTAATTTAGGATATCTGGTCGGCACAGATGAGTTGGACCAAAGGGTCTGTTTCTGTGCTGTACATCTCTGACTGTATAAGCTGGCCATACTGTCCTTTTTGGAGGGAAAGTGCTTTCTTTTATCATTCTGATACCTGCAACCAGCCAGTCTCGCTGCAGTAATGAGTGCTATTTGCATGAGGTGGTGTAAATTTGAATCATTTTGCTAATAAGGAATAAGTTAGGAGGTGTCTCATGATGCACAAGTAGAGCCCCTATCCCGGACTGGGGGTCCCGGGTTCATGTCCCACCTGCTCCAGTGACTTAGAATAACCTGTCTGAACAGGTTGTTTAGAAAAATAGGTTAAAATTTTGAAAAAAGTGTAAGTTGCTGATTATGGTACACATTAGCCTGACTTTGATACTGGTTTTTTTTTATCAGGACGTGAATATTAAGGATCCAAGTTAACCAAGAGTAAACCTTGAGTGAAGATGCACCCAGATCTATCCCCGCACTTGCATACGGAGGAATGCAACATTATCATCCAGCGTCTGAAACAGTGTCATAGAGAAGTGAGTACGAGTTCAAGCAGTACCTTTTTTACGTTTTTGAAATGTTGTCTCCAATGTTCTCAGTGAAATCCTGGGCACCATTTGCAGGCACTTTTTTATAAAATTTTTAATTGACAAAGGCATGCTCTGAAGTGAGAACCCATCGCATTCGTGCCCTTTTTTAAAAATTGCATTGCTCCCAGTTTGGAAGAGGATGGAATGTTCCATTGTTCTCTCTTGGCATTGACAAAGTGGGAAAATGTGCCAGTCACCCAAAATTGTATTTTTTTTTTTAAAAACCATCCATGATTATTGGTTATAAAAATTAAAAAGTAGCTGCTTCTATTTAATTTGCAAACAAACCTCCAACACAATTTTTTTTTTTCCTAATTTTAATTGCTTCACTAACACAGTACCCTGTTTAGTGTTACTACCTCTGACACTCCTTCATGCTTATAACGACATGTTTTTCTCTTTCCCTATCCTCTTGGCTCTTTATACAGTTTCACTCTTCCTTCTCTTTGTGCTTCCTTGGGAGACCAGAATATATGGCCTGCAGTGCAATAGGCTGAAGAGTATAAAATCTAATGAGGATGCAGGGATGATCTGAATTCCAAGCCAGACAGTGAATAACAAACAACAACAAAAACAAAGTTGCTGGAAAAGCTCAGCAGGTCTGGCAGCATCTGTGGAGGCGAAAACAGAGTTAACGTTTCGGGTCCGGTGACCCTTCCTCAGAACTGATGGTGGCTGGGAAACCGTCAGTTTATATGCAGAAAATAGGGAGGTGGGTGGGGTAGGGAGTAAACGATAGGATAGATACCAAAGAGAGAAAGACAGTTGGACAGACAAAGGAGTTGCTAACGATCAGTCTGGGAGGGTGAATAGTTGTTAATGGGGACTGTTAGTGACTAATAATAGGGGGTGTGTAATGGCAGGCTATGTGGTAACAAGGCCTGGTGTGTGGGGTGGGGGGCTGGGACATGGGAGAGTTTAGGCCCTAAAATTATTGAACTCAATATTGAGTCCGGAGGGCTGTAGGGTCCCCAAGCAGAAAATGAGGTGTTGTTCCTCCAGCTTGCGCTGGGCTTCACTGGAACACTGCAGTAAGCCGGAGACAGAGATGTTGGCCAGGGAGCAAAGTGGAGCATTGAAGTGGCAAGCAACAAGTAGTTCAGGGTCTTTTTTTGCGAGCAGTGAAGTACAAAACTAGACTCCAATCTCTTTCTAGTTACTGTGATTGGTTTAGTTAGACAGTGCAGCATTACATACATTTCCCTTCTCATTACTACTGAAGTAGAAGTCTGTCTATAAACTGTTTCAAAACTATAGTAATCAAACTAACCGAACAACTACCCTTTAAGCAGGTACTATGTTAAAGTTTTATTTTGACACACTTATTGAATTCGAATGTCACTGGCATGAGTGATGTAGGTCCCACTTTTTGCAAAGTTGTCTTTGAAAAAAAGGCTAACACTCCCTTACAAGTCTTCTGTGTATGTGATATCTAATCAACATAATCACAATTGGGAATATGGTTTTACCTACAATATGTGGACTGTAGCAGTTCAAGAAGGCAGCTCACCAATACCTTCTCAAGGGCAACTAGGGATGGGCAATAAATGCTGGCCCAGCCAGGAACACCCACATCCCGTGAGTAAATATTTAAAGAAAAAAGCCCTTAATCCTACTCTTTTAATTGCACCATTAAGAGGCCCTCTTCAAGAGAAAGTTTGTAAACTTTTCATGTCACAGCAAAAATATATCTTGAAGGGGACCTTCCACTTTCCCCAGATGTTCTGCCTTCCTTTTAAATCAATCACTTTTTACCTCCACTGCCTCTTCCCCAGTCACTTTTGCACGGAGTTTACAGCGCAGAAACAGGCTGTTCAGCCACTGGTGTGTAGACGATGCTCCACTGGAGACTTCTTTTAGATATTTATGACACATCTCCGGGACTTGAACCCTGGACTTTTGCTTAGGAAGATAAGGATACTAACACTGCCACCAAAGCCCGTTTAAATGAAAGGCAAACAATTGGGGCTCATCCAGGAACACTCCATCCTTTTAATCTTATCAGCTTGACTTTCTCCTCCTGTCACCCTCACTTACTTATCTGACTTCTCCTTCAATATACCTGTGATAATCCTTTCAAATACTGCTGGCAATAGCGAATTCCACGTTCAAAGCACCATAGAATCCCTGCAGTGCAGATAGAGGCCATTTGGCTCATCGAGTCTGCACTGACCCTGTGAAGAGCAACCCACCTCCCCGCCCTGACCCTGTAACCTTGCAGTTCCCATGGCTAACCCACCTAGCCTGGACACCATGGGGCAATTTTAACATGGCCAATCCGCCTAACTTGTATATCTTTGGAGTGTGGGAGGAAACCGGAGCATCCGGCAGAAACACATGCAGACACTGAGGAAGTGCAAACTCTACAAAGACAGTCACTCAAGGCTAGAATCAAATCCTAACCCTAACGCTGGTCCTGTTAAACTCGGATCCACTAGGTTTTAGCAAGGATCTGTAGCTCGGGTTGTGGGTGAGGTTGTTGATTTGCTCACCGAACTGGCTTGTTCTCATTCAGATGTTTCGTCACCGTGCTAGGTAATGTTATCAGTGAGGCCTCCGATGAAGTGATGTTATTCTACTCCACTTGGAATTTATATTGTCTGACCTGTTACGGTGAGTAGTGTCCTTATATTCCTTAATATCAGCACACTCTGACAGTGAAGGCCATCAGTTTAACTGGGACAACGTAACCATAGTAGCCCAAGCCAAACATAGACACGCATGGAAAATTCCTAGAAGAATGGTTCTATAACCATAATGCAATCAACAAACACGTAGAATTGGACCCCATATACAAACCCATACAGAACAAAACCGGAAATGACACTACTCGCCATAACACGCTGGACAGTATAAATTCCAAGTGTAGTAGAACAACATCGCTTCATCGGATGCCTCACTGATGATATCACCTAGCATGGTGACGAAACTTCTGAACGAAAACAAGCCAGCTCGGCGAGCAAGTCAACAACCTCAGATCCACTAGCATCAGTTGTGTGAATTCTAATTGAACCCTGGCATCTACAGCCTTTGAGTGAGGAGGTGTAAATGTAACATATCCTTTGGCTGGAAGAAGCGCTCTCTCACCTTTTTCCTTTCCGCCTTGTAAATGGCCTGGTTCCAATTTGAATGAGATGCCATCTCTTGTCCTGGATGTCCCCACCAGAAGAAACTGTTTCTCTGCATCTCCCTGTGTTTTTATTTTGAAACATCTTCATCAGACCATGCTCGTGAGCTTCTGAACTCATTGACAAATTCTGTCCTGCACCCATCATACCATTTAGCAATCACCTCATGCTTTTCCTATTTTTTTTTAGTTCCCAACTGATGTTCCCACACAACATGTGAACATTTTCTAATCAACCTGTAATAACATCTGACACTGGGCCTCCTGGCTCAGAGGTGGGAACACTACCATGGCACAAGAATCCTACCTGAGTGTAGTGCATCTATCATCTAACCTTTTCAATTTTGTAATATTTGGTCCAAAATATATCCACCTGCTGTCAACTTAATATCTTTTAAAAATTGCAGCGTAGTAAGTGTAGCCATCAGCATAATTGTTAATGCCTTTATCAGAATCTGTTCAAAAGTAACACTTCTAATGACTTTTAATTAATTTGAAATTTTTAATCAGTTAAAGTGTGACGCCTCCTCTTATTCAAAAACATTCATTCAGTGATTGTGGTCTTATTTTTTAACTCTCTACACTGAACGTAATGTAGGAAGACCTCAATGTTCTGTGACAAGGCATGCACAGGGCAAATGACTATGTTCCAGGAGTCTTCTCAAAGTGAAATTACTCACCGCTGTTAGCTAGCATGACCTGTGTTACAATTTAATAACTATCCTTTCACTTCTACAGCATAGCTTCCTGAAGTTTCTGGGAAAATGTAATGATATTGACAGAGAGATGAGGCGCTGCTTAGAGCTAGAGGTAAGGTGATGTTCAAAGTTGGAGATATTGTTGTTTTGCTTGTTATTGGTACAGACCCTTCTTTTGTTTCACCTTGTTTACATAAACACAGTGGTCCCCTTCCAGGCTTCTGACCCTGAGGTGTAGTCTCCTGTTTCATTGTTACTGTTCTTCGGATCATAGAGTCACACAATACAGAAGAGACCCTTTGGCCCATTAAGTCTGTACTAGAAATATGCCATCACCTACACTAAAATGAGGAAGCATTTCTTCACTTGGTAGTGAGCCTGTGGAATCCTCTACCACAGGGGGCTGTGGAGGCAAAGTCATCTTAGATGGCAGTGGCACTTTTTTTTTATTTTTAAATTATGCCTCTGGTTCTAGACTCTCCAACCATGTCTTATCTGTCTCTCCCTTTTGAGTATTTTGCACATTTCAATGAGATCATGTCTCATTCTTCACAACACTGGAGAATCCACAGATCCAGTTTGTCCAATCACCCCTCCCCTCCCAAGGAACAAATGTGGTGAACGTTTGTTGCACCCACCTAAGGCAATAATATCTTTTCTGAAAAAAGAGAGACCAGAACAGAGCCCCCCAACCCCCAACCCCCAACTGTTCCAGGCGCAGTCTAACCAAGCTCCTGTACAATTGAAGCAAGACTTCACTTATTCCTGTACTCGAATCCTGTTGTGATAAAGGCAAACATCCAATTAATCTTCAAAACAGCACGCTGCACTGGCATATTAGCCTTCAGTGACTTATTGACAAGGTTACCCAGGTCCTTTTGTACACCAGTACCTAAAGAATAGTTTCTCCCATCAAAGAGGGTAACTTTAAATATTTCCACCTTTTATATTCGACCTGCCACGTCCCTGCCCATTGATGACCCCTGTCCAAATCCATCTGAAGCCACTTTACATCTTCCTCACAAAACTAAACTATGTTCAATGTGCTCAGTAAGCTCTCCGGAGGTCCCTGTGGCTGCTAGCACCTTCTGTTTTAACTGGAGTTATTTCTTCCTCCAGTCTGCAGAAGGTTGGATAGAGGTATGAGGGCCAGAAAAGAAAGAGTTTGATAGAACAAGGGCATTTCGTTGATTTCTGTAGGTTTGGGAACTTGGGGATTGCTAGACGGATAAAGACTGTGATATGCTCTCTCCCATCTTGTCAGCCCAATTCTTCACCAGCCCCGCTATTGTTTTAGAGATAGTAGGAACTGCAGATGCTGGAGAATCCGAGACAACAAGGTGCAG